ACCAAGGAAGTTATCCCTGCTATAATTAATCCAAGCATCTTCTTGGTCCAATTGATAACTTTTAATTAATGTCTTATTAATTAAAGAAAGATAAGTTCTTTCTTATCAAGAAAGAACTAAGTGAATGACACCATGGCTCTGTTAGACTGACTGGAAGCCAATCCCTAAGCATCCTGACCATGATCACCACTGTGGAGTCATTGCAAGGATGTTCAGGCATGATACATGATACATTAGTACATGAGAACACATTTGGTTACCACCCTTTCTTTCTAGCAGTACTTGAGGACCATAAGCACACATTTACCTTTATGTATCTATGTCCTTGTAATACTGCTTTGATTTTTCCTCCAACTGTCAGTTGTAGCTGCCCAGTCTGCAGGAGTCTACCATGAAAAGGTAGGGCTAGATTCCATAAAGTATGTTGTATGGGCCCAGTTTTGTCGCTGATAATGAGTTTAGGGATGAGAGGATTGAGGCCTCTACCTAACCATGTAACATTGGACAAGGCCTCTGAAATCATGATATAATAGGAGGAATCTACAAAATAAATCTTGTGCCAGTCTTGCTCTTTCCCTAGAAGGAAACCTGTAGGGGACCAGTCTATAAAGGAATAATTAAATTTGTGTATAGCTCATCCATGGTATGCATCTCTACAATTCTGCCATGTGCCCAAATCACCTTAGGTGGTCCTCCACAAATAAGCACTTGCCTGGCAAGCACAAGGTCCTGAGTTCAATCCCCAGTACCACAAAAAAAGAAAAAAAAAAAAAAAGGAAAAGGAAAATGTGTTCCATAGATGAATGTAAAATGTATACCTTGGGGCCGGGGAGATGGCTCAGTAGGATAAGCGCTTGACAGACAAACGTAAGGATCTGAGTTCAATCCCCGGTTCCACCAAAAAAAAAAAAGTATACCTTATTATTGTTCTATGAAATACAAATAATTAGGAATGCTTCATTACTCTTTTCAATGCTTTTTAAAAAAAATTAATCCCACAGCTGGGTGTGGTTCCCCATACCTATGATGCCAGTGCCTAGGAGGCTGAGGTAGGAGGATCACTTCAAATTCAAGCCCAGGCTGGGCTATAGAACTAGACCCTTTTTTTTTTTTTTTTCCGGAACCAGGGATTGAACTCAGGCCCTTGCGCTGGCCAGGCAAGCGCTTATTCTACTGAGCCATCTCCCAGGCCCTGAGATCCTGTCTCCAGAAACCAAGATTCAATAAATATATAACAATTGGGTACAGAGAGGGTCGGGCTCAGTGGTGCTGTGCCTCCCTGGCAAAAGTGAGATCCTGAGTTCTATTTCCAGTAGTCAAAACAAAGGAAGCACAAACAAAGAGTTGGCACTGAGTGGAGAGTGGGCAGACACAGACCTGCAAGCTTAGCCAGCCTGGGGTTGCGGAAGAATGGAGGGAATAGGGTGGGAAGAGGAAGCAGCAGGCAGAGAATCGGTGCCCTGGAGGCAGGGAGGGGACCTTGTGCGCCCGCCCCCGCGGTGAGGGCTCCCCTGTCGTGGCTGCGTGGGTAACTGCGTCGGGTCCAAGACCGCCAGATGCGCAGAGATCTCCTTAGGAAATCGCTCGCGGACCACACCCCTCTGTTAGCAGCTTTGTCCCTTTGCCCCTCCACATTTTCTGAGGATTTCGAGGAAAGCGTTTGGGGAAAGATCAGCCCGACACCCAAGGGTACCAGCTATCGATTTCTTGATTATCTTGGCAGGAGCTAGGGGTGATGCTTGCCAATGTTGCCTCGGCTCTGTTATTTTGCAACCTTTGCGAATTGCTCAATCTTGCTGGGTCTCCCAACGTGGACATAGAATATAACCAGGTCATATTCGAGGTGCTCGCTGGGATCAGAACCATTCTTTGCAGCCCACTTCTCACGCTCTTCGCACATCCCTGCGTAACCACTATACGTGTGTGAGTGTGCATGTCCCTACACGTATGCTGTGCGTGTATATGCCCTGTTTGTACAGCCCTGCACACACATGTACTAAAGGTCCATGTCACACAGGTACCTGGGAGGACTGTTCCTAAATAATGCAGAATTTTATTTTCCTTTTACAAAATCATTTATTTATTTATTTATTTATTTATTTATTTATTTATTTGGTGCAGGGTCTCACTATGCAGCTCGGACTCGTAGTGATCTTCCTGTCCCGCCTCCACAGCTCAGGGATTACAGGTGTACACCACCATGCCCAGTTTTGGTGGCCCGCCTGGCATAGCACGTGGTGCTAGAGATTGAATCCCTGGTCTTTGTGCTTGCCAGGCAGGCGCTTAGACCGCTGAGCTGTCTCCCCAGCCCTTATTTTACTTTTTAAAGGTATTGTCTAAAATTAAGAAAATTTGGGGCTGGGGAGATAGCTCAGTAGAATAAGTGCTTCCCTGGCAAGCGCAAGGGCCTGAGTTCAATCCCCGGTTCCACACACAAAAAAATAAATAAAATTAAGAAAATTTGTGCAAGGGCCTGGGGTTTGATCCCCAGGCCTGTCGTGCCAGCCCCGTCCCCAGGGCGCCCTGAGATGGCACTTGAGACTGGGTGTGGTGGTGCGAGCCTATAATCCTAGCACTTGGGAGGCTATAAATGGGAGAATCACTACGAGTCCAATCTAGTAGTGAGACCCTGAACACCATGTAGGCCCTTCCCTAAAATTAAAAAAAAAAAAAAAAAAGAAAAGAAAATTTAAAGCTATGTAGGACAAATAGATTTGCATGTAGTAAAAAAGTCAAAAATGATTTGTTCCCATAAAATCTCATGACACATTTTGCAATCTTTGTGGGTGGACAAGTGCCATTCTCTTTAGACTTTACGTTGAATCTGTGCTTCTCAAGTGCATTTCATCCATTTTTGCAGGGTATTTTAGGGTCTGTGTTTTTCATTGTTGACACAGGGTCTCCATACTTTGGGTGATCAAAACATGCAGTGTGTGATTGAACATGGTTTTGAATTTATTATATAGTAAAAGACAATGCCATTAACCTGCTTGGAAATATTCCTCTCTGCCTCAAACATGTCATCCTGGCCACTTTTTTAAAAAAATGTATTTAGTACAGGTCTACAGAGTCTCACTACACAGATCCGACTCGAAGTGATCCTCCCGTTTTCAGCCTTCCCAGCACTGGGATTACAGGCGCGCACCACCACGCCCAGCCTCAGAGGTCTCAGCGTGCTCCCAGGCGGGGCTGGCAGGGCAGTTGAGCCCCAGTCCCTGCCCCGCGCCTGCCTACGCAGGCGCTTTAATCCCTGAGCCGTCTGGCCAGCCCTGCCTAGCCACTTTCAAAGCAGTGGTAGAAGGCCCTCTTCGGGTTGCCACTTGCACTGCTGCGGCTGCCTCGATTACCTTCCGCAGCGATTTTGACTTTGGGAGGAGCCGGAAGTCCCATAGTGCTGTGCAGTGATTGAAGCGGGTGGGGACACAGTGTCATATTTTTTACCAGATAGAAATTTCCTTAGCCATTTGATCAAGGGGAGCGAAAAGAAGATATGGTGAATATTTAAATTAAAGAATTTAGTGCCAGGGAGATGGCTCAGTAGAATAAGTGCTTCCCTGGCAAGCACAAGGGTCTTGAGTTCAATCCCCGGTTCTGCCAAAAAATAAATACATTAATTAATTAATTAATTAAAGAATTTACGTACTGTACAAGACACAGTACCATTAATTCCCTTGAAAACATTCCCCGGCACTTGGAATACATTTACTGCATCATTCTTGGCTGTGTGTCTTGTGTTGTAATCAAGTGTTTTTAAACATTCAGTGTGTTCTCAGTCACCCCTGGTATGTAGTGCAGGTTGGCCTTGAACGTGCATTCCTCCTGTCTCAGCCTCCGATGTGCTGGGATTACAGGCGTGCACGGTTGCTTTTTGCATATGTCAGTGTAGACACCTTCTAGCTATTTATGTTCAGTTTCCTGCCAGGGGATGTGGCTCAGAGGTAGAGCACTTCACGTGCTGGGTTTGATCACCAGTGCTGCAAAAATAAATAGGTGGGGGCCAGGAAGATGGCTCAGTAGAATAAGCACTTGCCTAGCAAGCATAAGGACCTGAGTTCAATCCCTGGTTCTGCAAATAAATAAATAAATAAATAGGTGACAGCTGGGTATGGTGACACACGCCTGTGAGCCCAACACTTGGGAAACCCAGGCAGGAGGATCACCACGAGTTCGAGGCCAGCCTGGGTTGCATAGTGAGACCCAGTCTCAAACAAGTGAATAAAATGATAAATAGATGAGAGGTAGGTAGATGGGAAAAGAGTAAGCGAGTACATGTTTTCCTTCCTCAGGCTTCTGTGGACACATGTAATTATTCCACCCGTGTTACCTATTGTAAATACTGTGAAGTTACTATTTGTCTTTCAAACATTCCGTATTTGCAAATCCAAAAAAAAAAAAAAAAAAAGACAGGATTCAGTAAGCAGTGTTTTAAGGTTCATTTAATTGGGTGGATCATTGAAAATTTGTAATTTGCCCAGTGTGGTGGCACAAGCCTGTAATCTCAGCACTCAGGAAACGGAAGCAGGAGGATTGCCTTGAGATCCCGGGCAACGTGGATACATAAGTGGGTTAAAGACCAGCCTACAGGGGCTGGGAGATGGCTCAGTAGAATAAGTGCTTCCCTGGCAAGCAAAAGAGCCTGAGTTCAATCCCCGGTTCTGCAAAAAAAAAAAAAAGACCAGCCTACAGTACTCATCGAGACCCTGTCTCAAACCATCTTTACTGTTTTTTCCTAAATTGGGCTGGTCTTGGAAGGTGGAGACGAGTTTGAGTACAGCTAAAGGCACCTGCTGCGGCGCCTGTCCTGCTGGAACAGGGCCTTGGGCGCGAGGGGCAGCTGTGTCATGGAAGTTATGAAAATGCTGATTTAGCCCACCTAAGCCTATGTTCGAGCCAAGGGTATCTTTGCATTCACATCTTGCTTTTTCTTCTTTTTCATCCCTTCATCCTCCCTGTCCTAAACTCATGCTGGCATCTTTGGGCTGTCTCTGCCGCGCTCCCAGACACCGCGGACTTACTGCTGCGCCAACACTGAAGACCTGGAGACGGTGATTCACCACGTGCACAGCCTGTTCCCCTCTGCTCCTTTCCTGGCGGCAGGGGTCTCCATGGGAGGGTAAGGTTGGCCCTTTCTGCAACACCTGACAGCTGGGCTTGGTGACACATGCCTGTACCCGCAGCACAGCAGATTGTGTGTCAGGGCGACACTGAATTCATGACCAGCCTGGATTATACATAGGGTGACCTTGTCTCAAAATCAGTCAAGAGAAGAATGGTCAGACTTATTGGCTGTCTTTCAGAGGACTCTAAGAAGTTAAGACACTTTCAAACAAATGTTTTTATCATATCCTATCACATAGAGTAGACGGAAGGAAGGGATTAATTCAGGTGAATGTAGTATTTTCCTGGGGTACTGTCTCCCAGGGGAAAAGGTACAAGGCCCATGCGGGGGGTTAGGGAGGGGCTCTGGAGCTGGAACGCCCCGCTCTGCTGCTGGGTACCCTCTGCATCCCTGATGTTGTCCCCATGTGTGTGGCTACGGCCGTGTCCTCCAGTTGGGAAGCCAACTTGGAGCGTGAAATTTGTCACACAGCCAGGAAGTGGGGTGGCCTGGAAAGTCCCACGCCCCGGGCGCTGTTGGGTGGCATGTCTTGGGTGGCATCGCTGCACAGCAGACCTGCTGTAGAGTGAGGTTTCTTTGCTTCTTCCCTACAGCAGCTGCTGTCATCAGCAGATGAGTATTATTGTGTTTTTGCCATTAGTCGTGACACAGGGGCTTAATTTGGAGTTTCCATTTGCTGTGTTTATATGTAAGCGGATTTCTTTTTTACTTTTTTTTTTTTTTGAGACACGGTCTCACTGCGCTCACAGTGATCCTCCTGCCTCAGCCTTCTGAGTGCTGGGATTACAGGCGCGCACCACCACGCCTGGCTTTATGTAGGCTGATTTCTACAAATAATTTTTTCTATTTTGCTGTAGTGACTGTGAGGAAATCCAGAATGTTTGTTATCTAGCACTTCGCTGTGCTTCAGATCCCCTACCCCTGGGCCCTCACTTCCTCCTCCCTACCTCGTGTCGCTGGGCCTGAACCCGGGCCTGGGCTCACTGGGCAAGGGCTATCCCCTGTGCTCTGACCCAACCACCACACTACCTTTTTAGATCAGCAAATACTCGAAATAGAAAATTGTATTTTTTTTCTTAATTTTATCACTGATGTGTCTGTCATTTCAATTAAAAACATCTCAGGGGTATGTATACAGGCAAATAGTCTTTATGAACAATGAACTCTACAGTATAGGCTTTTGCCAGAGCCTTTTAGAGTCTGGTAGGCTGAAAACCAGGAAGGCAAGCACCGCCTCTCACATTAACATGGGTGGCCAGACCTGACCTACTAAAGGCAAGCCGAGCCGGGAGCAGCGGGCGGTGGCCTCCCTTTGTGCTTAGCGGGCAGGATTTTGCTTCTCCCTCCTGTGCCTCAGTGAGGTGAAACTCTAGGGCCGGGTAGGGGAACTGAACTCTTTGCCCCAGTCCTGTGAATTCCTGACTGTGTGGGCGGACCGTTCAGCTGGCTGGGTGTTCATGCCTCCGGCCCTTCTGGTGTGCAGCTTGTGTTTTTCTTTCTGAGATGACGTGGGTCTGGGGAGGACGCCCCCGCACCCTAGGCTGATCCCTGAGCTGACTTGCCCGGGGCCAAGCACAAGCTTGGAGCCTACACCACTCTAGAGCCTCCAGGTTTTCCCCCAAAAAGCTAGTTTAAAAAAAAAAGTTTCAAATGTAAAGAAAATTCCAAATGTGTATAAGAATATGGACAAGTCTGGGGGTGCATGGCTGTGAGCCCAGCATTTGAGAGGCTGAGTCAGGAAGGTCCCTGACCAGCATGGACTGCAGGTGAGACCGTGAATGGATGAATGAATGAAGTAAAGATAAGAGTATATGCCAGCAGCTCATCCCAGCTTACCCAGATATGGACTCAGGATAATCCTGTTTCATCAGTATACCCACCTCAGGATCCCTTCGCCTCTGATTGTTATGAACTGAATCGCAGGCATCGTTTACTCAGATTTCAGAGGACCTAGGGCAGCCCCTGCTTAGCATGTGGGAGGCGCTGGGGTCCAGCCCTGTGCCACAAGAGAACTGTTTCAGCTGGGTGGCTTCCAGCCTTGTGCTCGGGTCACAGGCAGTCCTGTCCACAGCGGCTCAATCTCTGCTGCTGCTTTGCCACATGCACACAGGACAGTGAGTGGCTTCCTGGAGCTGGGAGGTGACAGAGCCCACAGAGGCTGCTGGGGACGAAGCCCAACAGGAATAGTAGACACCTGAGTGTCTCCTTTGGTGTCTCGGATGGAGAAGTCTTTCTTAGCAAAAGGAAGACATCCATGCCTTTACCACCAATGAGCAAAATCAATAGTGATTTCTCTGGGTTTTTTTTGTGGTGGTGGTGGTGGTCCCTTTTTTTTTTTTTTTGAGACAAGGTCTCCCTGCATAGCTCAGGCTGGGCAGCTGGCCTCAAACTCATAATGAACCTCCTGCTTCAGCCTCCTGAGTGCTAGGATTACAGGCACATGCCCCCATGCCTGGCTAAAAGGGTTTTTTTGGTTTTTGAGGGTTTTTTGGTGGAACCGGGGATTGAACTCAGGCTCTTGTGCTTGCCAGGGAAGTGCTTATTCTACTGAGCCATCTCCCTGACCCTTAAAAGGTTTTTTGTTGTTGTTTTGTTTTGTTTCTTGAGACAGGGTTTTGCTACATAGCTCAGTCTGACCTTGACCTCACTATGCGTCCTATACGGGCTTCATATTTGTGGCAGTCTTTCTGCCTCAGCCTCCTGAGTACTGGAATTGCCAGCCTGTGCCACCTTGCCTGGCACAGTAATTTCTAAATATTGTTAAATATTCAGTCACTGTTCACACACCCCAGTTGTCTGTTTGAGTCTATAGCTTTTTAAAATACAAGATCTAGGGCTGTCAAGATAGCTCAGTAGACTAAGTGCCTGCTCAGGCAAGCTCAGGACCAGGGTTCAATCCCCAGTACTGCAGGCGGCGCCGGTCCTTCCCCCAGGCGCCCTGAGGCAGCCACAGAGTCAGGGCATGGTGGCGCATGCCTGTATTCCCAGCACTGGAGAGACTGAAAACAGGAGGATCACTACAAGTCTGAGCTGCATAGTGAGTGAGACCCTGTACCAAATACATAATAAATAAATAAAATTTTATCACATTCACCCTGCCAAGCTGGTGTGGCCCATGCACGCCTGTAATCCCAGCACTCAGGAGGCTGAGGCAGGAGGCCTGCCCAGAGCTGGAGGCCAGCCTGAACTATCTAGCAAAAACCTTGTCTCAAATAAATAAACAAAAAATAAGTAAATGAAATTTTGAAAAGGACAGGAGATGTCACAGATGAATCCTGAAGTGCCACACTTCTCCTTTCAGAATGCTGCTTCTAAATTACCTGGGCAGGACCGGGGCGCAGACCCCGCTGATGGCGGCGGCCACCTTCTCGGTGGGCTGGAACACTTTCGCGTGCTCGGAGTCCCTGGAGAAGCCGCTGAACTGGCTGCTCTTCAATTACTACCTGACGACTTGCCTGCAGTCCTCGGTTAACAAGTAAGTCGCCTTTAGGACCCTTGTCGGCGACTCTGTGGTGCACATTTTTAAATTACAATGCTGCTGCTATGTGTAGATTTATTCACACATCGGATGCAGTTACTGCTGAAGCAAATATTCT